TAACTTGGTTTCTAATCATATTTCGGTGTCACACAATTAATCATGTTTGATCCCAAAAAGAATGAATATTGCTTTTTATTCTAATAATTTTTGCTAAGGGTGCTTTTTTGCATTTATCTCATAAACGAAATGATGTATGATTAAGTGGGTAAGCATCCGTATTACAGCATTGTCAAAACCCTATTGGTGGGTATTATTGAAGAAATTTGATAATGTATATTTACATCAGCATTCGTTTACCTTTTACATTATTTCGCTGGAAATGTGCTACTCTTTGTGAACTTTTGACGAGAACATATGGCTAAAAATGGCGCCCGCAAAAAAGGTTATCATTAGAGTTGCAATTTACACATTTTTATCTTATCCCTTCATTGGAAATTTAAACTCACGGCCTTTGTTTGTTTTCAGTAAAACGTTGTAGAAAAATATCCCAAATTACCGGTTTGTTACACAATCAGTAAATTTGTAATGTGGCAAGTGTGGTATTGATTGATTTTCGTCAGGCTGGAGTTGAATTATCGGTCTTAAAAATGGCAACATTGTGTACTAATGGTTCGGTGACTGAGGAAAATATTATCATAGTGTTATATTCATGAAAGAAATTGCTGATGAGATATCCGCATACTCAGAATTGCATATAGGCGAATGGTATCAGAACCTTGCACAATATCTAAAACTATTCATTAATCATGCAACTGACATCATCTAAATAGGATGATATTGAGAACAGAGACGGAAACTAAATACGGATTTTCCAAGGTATATGAAAGATGTTTAAACTTAAACAGAGCGGTGCAGTATGCAAACGGCGTGCATAGCCGTTCCATGACAATAGTGAAACCAAGAGGTCCCACCATGATATAGAAATATAAAATTCCCACAATTGAGGAAACAGCTAAAACCCACTGGATAGAGAGAAGTATTTTGATGACCGTTTCATCCCAAATGAAGCAAATTCTGGAAAATTGTGGGGTTGTTTTACCCATGATAGGTCATCTGCCGTCTAGCTTAAGGACAACCTAGACATCCTAGTGTTACCATCCAAATGGCGTTGGCAGCTCACTGTTCCCCGTTGTCTGCGATAGAGCCAACGCACAGCGAGTGATACAACATTAAGGGCTATTTATTTATTGCGCAATACAGACTTTGAAATCCAACCAATACGCCCAGATTTGAGAAACGGGTTGTGTGCGTTAGAGCGGAGGGTAAATTTGATTCCTGACTGAGCAAATACGAGAAATGGTAGTCTAGAATGTAATGTAATGTAATCTAGAATGGTTATGCATTGGCCGATGAATTTACTGTGGCAGAGTTTGATGATAACCACTGTCAAATAATTCCGTTGATTGACAGCATCTCTGGTAAAACGTAAATTCAGAACTGAGCACATTTACAGCAAACCCCCAAAAACATAGTCACAAGACCGTTTTTTATCCGATCGATGCGCAACCACATGTCATGAACCGACACAAGAAAGTGAATTTGAAAATGGAAAATATTCAAACAATTCAAGCAAACACTATATTCTCACATTTTCAACTAACCTCTGTTCATCAGAACAACGCGGAAAAGCAACTGCAAAATTGACACTTCTGTAGAAGTCACACTGTTTGCATTTATGAGAGAAAAAAATGCACTATGCGCCCAATCTTTGGTTCTGCAATAGTCTTCATGATATGTACTTGCACATAAATTTTGCAAAGCACTTCTCAACATTATGATGTAGGCGATAAATCTTATACCCTGGGACCACACTCACTTATCAAATCATCTCAGATGTAGGTTTAACGGTATCCTGTTGCGCTCAGAACGTTTCACTTGGAACGCTTTGACTCCTTACAAGATTCTCACTGTCAGCTAAGTAAATCAACGCGACAGGCACAGAACGGAACACAGCTCAACCGTTCTCCGATAGAAGAAATGGAATGTTCATCAAAAGTTTATAACGTGCAAGAACATTTCCCGGTGGGTTTACGTCACTTATTAATAGGAATAGGGAAAATCTGGTTGGAAGAATGATAACACAATGGTAGTCGATTTGAGTTGTATTTATTAGGAAACCTTCCGCCCACTATTAATCAGCAAATTGGTAAAGCTCGTCACAATGCCAGCACTATATTTATATCAAAATTATATCAGGCTTAGGGTACTGCTGTAGATATATCGTCTTTGCTGATTTCCTGACGGTTGGTGATAAGGAGCACGTCTGACAAAATCAGAACTCACCAGCTTTTGAAGTTTTTTTGTTGAAAATTCGCATCATGCGGGGTAAGTTTGTGGAGGTTATAGTTAACACAAAAAGGCTGTGAAAAAGGAGATTTAGAAGTGGGGACTCTTACGGGAGCCTCTGCAATCTTTTCCTGTGTCAATGCAAGAACAAAGGTGATGCGATGCTTTTGGAAAAATACCCGCCAATATTACACGATTGTTTTACGATAACGACATGTATCACAAATAACATTTCGAACTTTGATACACGATTATTTACGATTCTCTCACGCAGAGTCCGTTTGTGATTTTACGTCGCTGAAACCCGTCGGAGGGTTTGAAAACCTACCGTCTTTTGTGCATGCCAAATAAGTGAAGTTTAAGGGAAAACGGCACTTGTTCAGTTTTCCTAAAAGAGTTTTACAACGTTGCTGTTTCTTTTCCAACTGAGGCTTTTTCACGGTGTTTTCGATGATAAAACGAACGATAAAATGGAGGCGATTTTACTAGGTGTGAAAAGAGTTCAGTGACCAGTTGTGGTCACATGTACTTGGTTGAACTTGGTCATCGAACTCCGGTATTACTGTGATTATCTATTGAAGTACAAATTTCAAGTATCCCCCGAAACCCTAGTTCTACTCATTCGCCTTAACCTATTACATGGCGGCCAAATTGAGTAAATTGTTTTCTCAAAGTTGGATGAACGTGTAAGAGATATTTGGTGACGGCTTGACGTTTTGTGGTGATAAATTGAACAATCATTTGTAGTGTGTTGTACATTTTTTATATTTGTATTTCATCATACAATGTCCGGAAAGAGGAATAAAATCAATTTAGCCAAAACAGCACTCCAGCCGTGTACACATTGCTTGTTTGCGTGCATCGCATAGACAAGGACGGAACCGCCAGGCGGAAACATGGCAGCGAATATTGATTCAAACTCACTGCTTCGCACACACATTTGGACTGATGTTTGGAACATTTTGAAAAGCATGTTTATTCTATGTCTATTCTATGCTTAATTATTCACTGC